CCAGCAACTTGTAAGAGCCATTGTGTTCCTCAGTGTGATGCCTGTGACTATGATGTGACCTATTAATATGTTGCACTTGTTGGCAGGCACAAAGCCAAGATGTCAACATGTTTGTAAAGATGTCTTGGAAAGATGACTTAAACCTTTAGCGTGTTGTGATACTGGTGAATGCAAAGTGGTGGTGAGAAAAACATTGCTTGGCCAGGTTTATTTTGAAAGCTCAGAACTGTGTACTTAAGCAAGTATGTTTGTGTGATGTTTCAGCTTCTTTTCATTTAGCAGAGTATAAAGATTTTTTTTTTTTTGGTCAGGTGTGACATAAGTAAACTTTATTTATTTTGAAATAAAATATATAAGTCCCCAAGCAGTTATTATTTTCTGAAGTACCTGGCTTGTGATTTCACTTTTCATTAATAGTTTTTGATTCAGACTTTGCTTCTTGTAGACTTCATTTTCATGAGGACACATTAGGCTTTTGATTGTGCTTTTGGGAAGAAAAGAGAGTATTGGGCCAAAGACTGCTTTCTCTTTAGTTTTTACTATTATTTGGCAGCACTGTAATCTCATAACATTAGCAGGCAATGCCCAGTGCCTTAGAGTCTGTGGTAATGTTCTGGCCCTGTCCTTCTTCTCGTGTTAACACCCAACCCCTCCTGCTTTCTGCCGATGTGCATCTGTCGTTTTGTGTCGCCATCCACCTGCAGTGGCTTTGGTCTGCAGCCGTCGCACCGAGACTACTGCCCATCGAGGACATTATTTTCATTTAAGTGGGAATTAATTGTGTGACAGATGCACGTAAGTAGGAATCACAAGAGATGTTTTGAGTGTGCATATGTATGAGAGTACTGAGTGAATATAACAACTGTACACTCTTGCTTGGGTCCCGCTGTCACCAGTCACTGGAGAAGTCTTTGCAGAAGATAAAGTCAAAGGTGTTTTCTATTCAAATTTCAGCGCACTTGGATGATAAAAACAAAATGCCTTGTTGCATCTTTCAGCCATTTTTCAATATCTGTTTTCAAAAAATAGGTGAGAAAAATAATGAATTGTGAAATGTACTTTAAGCCTTAATTTAAATGATGTTTCCTAATGAATACTGCTGCATTAGGAGCTAGGTTTTTCCCACAGTCTATAGGAGCTGTACTGTATCCAAAACTGCTTTCTTATTCTGTTTCTCTGGAGAGTTAGCTTGGTACTTTCTCACTGAAAGGTCCCCTTTGTTTGTGTCACTTGCTTGGCCTTTCTAATGGGATCAGCTGCAAACTCTATCCATCAAAATCAGTACTGCTGTATTACCCCCTCCTCAGTGATGTTGCTTATCCAATTCCGTGGAGAGCTGATGAAGCTCACTAATCTGCAAAAAGAGCCCAAAACAACTAAAAATGAAGTTAACTCTTGTAATAAGTTGGCCTTCTGTCAATTTCCCAAGTTGACAGAACTGGCTCATCTGAGGCCGAATATTAGACTGACTGCGCTGGTCTAAAGGGGAGAGAGGGAGGGTTTGTGTCTGCCAGGATGGTGAAATTGCAATGGTTCCTCTTCACATTGGCTTAAACTTGTTGCAGTTCCTTTGTGCCCCTTTGGGTAAATAATCATCCATAAGGTACAGCCATCACTTCACTTGCCAGTCTTCTTTTCAGCTCTTACACTGTATGCAGATAGTGCTTCTTTTAGGATAATGTAAAGTTTTATGAAGACAACCACATATTTGCTGCTACTGGCATTTCTAGGTGTGCCTTGAAATGTCACATGTTTGGGTTTGGTGTGTTATACTCATTGAACTGAAAATACACTCCATTAGAGCAGCTGATCAGCAGACTAGTCTGTTCATCAGCCAGACGATCTCTGGAGCAGTGCTCTGTAAAGAAACCCCAGCAGATATATGTCTGAATGAACAGATTATCCTCAAACATGTGTTGCTTACACACACTACTGTACTTTCAGAAGGGCTTAGTTTTTCAGACTTGAAGCAATATTGCATTTCTTGTGGTAGTTTTAGCTTTTAATTCATTCTCAGTTCAAAAACTGTTGAAATATAGAGAGTGTTGAGGTGCTGAATTGATACTGTTCACAACTGTTGTTGCATATAAAAAGAAAAACACACACACACATACAAAACCAACCAAACAAAAAAGCCTTCCAGTTTGTTTATATCTTGACTTAACACTTTTTACGTAATTCTAGAGAATTTGAATATCGGTAAAATATTTCCCTGACACCTCTCATTGGGGAAGAAAGGATATTTTATAGTCATCATAGTAGTGGGTTTGAGCTTTGAATTGAGCTCATCCTTGTTTGAAGTGATACATTAAATCTCAGTGTAACTTTGGTAAAGAGTCGTGCAAGGCTATAGAGCTAGTCTTTGAAGTGTGTTTAGAGATATATGGATTTAGCTGTAGAATTGTGTTAAAGCCTATGTAAAGTAACTTCCTTTGGATGTTACAACTCATGAAGTTTAAAAAATTAGAAGGTAAAAAAACTAGAAGGTCATAAACAGTGCAACTTTGTGATTATAGATAAAAATTGGTCTGTTTTCTATGTACATATCTTTTCTTTCTCAACAGTTGTTGGGTGTAATTAGAGGAAGAGAGAGAAAATGGAACAATTGAGACATCATATGTACAAAACAAAACAAAAAACCACCTCCAGTCTGTAGGTGTTATACTGAACAAGAATTTGGTTTTGTCCCATCTATCTTTTTTATGTAGATAGCATTTATTCATTTGTATTGCATTTTAGCTCTAAACTGTAATTAGAGCTAGGCAGTAGACATAAGATTTGTCAGCAGAGAAAAGTAGAAAGTATTCAAGTAAAAAGTAAGGACAAATAGAACAATAGTCAGTGTATTAACGCTTGGCTAGAATAACTCCCTAAGTTATAGAAAAGTGTATCTAGCAAGATATTAGGAAGTTCTAAGCTTAATAATGGAGCTCTGTGCATTGTATCTTAAGGCTTACAAGCAGGTATTGTACTAAAAATAAGCGAGCATTGTTTTAACCAAAGGTACATGTGCTTAAAGCGGTTGGATAGAATTACTGTCAATATGCTTTTGCTTTGTGTGATTAGTCAAAAAGCTTTTAAAGCAAGTTGTAACATTAGGTTCTTTGTTTGCTGCCTAAGATGTGAACTGCTGGCGTCTTCCCATTGTCATAACCATGTAATGAGACTGATGCTAAAAAATAAACAGCTCGAGATGTGTTCCTCAGCAATCCCGTCCTGTTCATGATTTGTACATAGTCCCCTAGCCAACAACAGAAAGACTTGTACCCACTAATAGATACATGCTGTTGTTGTTTTTTCTTTTAAGCTAAATAGATATATGTTTGTTGTTGCTTCTCTTAGAAACCTGTCCTTTCTTTCAAAAAATATTACATGTTTTGCACAGTTTAGCCCTATATACGTATATGGGGTGATTTGAAATCTCTCCATTATCAAGGAACAGAATTACACTATATATTAATGGTTTGGGGTTGTTTCTTTTCTAGAAGAAATAATCAGCTTCCCCTTCATGTCTTGCTAGGACAACAGCTGCAGATGAGATTGAGCTTCCATATTTAATACATTCTATTAACTTCACAGATCCAAACACACACTGGCTCGCTCCCTCACGCACCCCAGTGTCACATTAGAGGTGAGCAGGCCCTAATTAAGAGCACACACCATCTGCCGGAGTGCGGTGGCAGAGTGGCACTCCACAGCCATCCTGATTCTTAGGATTGAAATGCATTATTTATGAGCTCAGAGACAAAATATGCTGCTTGGCTGGTGAAAGCTGCATAGGGAGCTGGATAGCACCATCTAATGGAATGGAGTGTTGCTGGCTAGTCATCTTTCCTCTTCTTCCTCTCTCCTCAGTCTCCTCCCCCAAATGATTTTATTTTTCAGTCTTGTCATTGGATTTTCTGTGATAGCATTTCAGACAATTTTGTCTCTCATGTTCCACTTTTATACAAGATTGGAAAGTGTTGTTGAAATATTAAACTAATTGGGGGGGAGTTTTTTGCAGCCTTTTGTTTCCTTCCAGTGCCACACACAGGGTTTTACTTTCTGTAGCAAAAGTGATGCTGATGTGATATGGTGGTAGAGAGGAACACAAGGAAGACAGATGAGCAAGATCAGTTTACTGCATTTCTCCAGTTCCTCTCAAGGACGCATGTAATGGAAGTTTCCACTTCTCTGTCTGAAAATTTTATTTTCATCTGGAAATTGGCCCTGACTTGGGGGGGAGGGAAGGCAGTATGACAGTACACTACAGACTGTGTGAACGTTCTTTACTGTGTTGAAAAGAAAGGGCAGGATTTGGGGAATGCTACAGCTTTGGACCTTCCTCTCTGGAAGCAGAGATCGTAACCTCTTCCAGCTTGCAGAAATCATGTTCTGTTATTGCTTCTTAGTGAGGAAATAGATGAGGAGGTGTTGGACCGAGGGTTGAAATACACCTTGTCAGGAGAGGAAAAGGGTGACAGAGAAGGAGCTCTTTTTGTGTCAATTGGTCCATCAATCTACCTTTGTTGACTACTTGATTACAGCACTGCATTTAGTAGAAATGTATATTGTGACAATGACCTTTAGGATATGCAGGTTAAGAATAGTTACACTAATTCAAAATAATCTGGGGAATTGTTTTCTGGTCCTTAGCCTTTTTGTGATATTTTTGAGTTTTGCAGTATTCCATGCTGGGCATCCAACAGTATGGCATCAGCACAAGCAAGCAGTTAGGACTGGACTGATACTTGAAATATGACAGTTTTCTACAGTAACATCCAATAGAACCGCTTTTTTTAAAATTACAGGATCTGGTCACTACTTCAACTCGGGCAAGACAAAACTCTGAGTAAAATGATATGTGTCTAAAACTGAGCAAAAAAAAAATCAATATATATATATATATATTGGAGGTGTACATTTTATTCTTTGTATCAGCATGTTTTAAAGAATGTTGAAATTACATAAATCATGGCACATCTATGAATACATATCCTCTTATTGTTTGTGTTTAGAACATATGCCATCAGAAGGATAAGAGATGCCTTTAGAGAAAACAAGAACATAGCAGATTCTGAAAAAATAGAAGAACTACTGAATAAAGCCAAAGCAAACCTAGAGGTTATTCAACGGCAGGTATGTTATTTTCTCTAATTTTTTATGGGAGTTGTTCACTAATCATTTAACTGTCTTATGCCACTAGAGATGGAAAAAAATATTTCCTTGCTCAAAACATCTCTAGATGAACATCAGTTTTTGTCTGAATTTGTTCGTCTTTTCATGATAGGTTCAGAGGGGTGACTTTGACACTCACTCCAAATAGTCTCACTTTCTTCTGTGTTTGTTTTTTCCCATCTCCAAATACAGTGTTAAAATAGTAACAGAACAAGAAAATCCTGAAGTGGTTTAAGTAAATGCTGGCTAAATGTGTCCAAACAGGGTTATAGGTTCTTTGGAAAACTTGAGTCACTGGCAATATTTTTCTTCAGTCTTGTCTGAGTAGCATTTATAGCATCTCTGTTCCTTCCACTAGGTACCATGTTACTAAGAAATTAAGTAGACTTGGTTGAACTTCAGATACTTTTTAAACTTCTCATTCATACCTACTATCTATCTAAAGTGACCACTAAAAACTGGAAGAAAGCAAGTTTCTATGCCTGACCTCTCTGTGAGAACTTGCAGTGCTTAAGCTGCTGCTCCTTGCAAAATCTGTGCTTGCTGACACCAGTCAGAGCTCAGTAGTACTTTTATTAAGCGCTGAATGAACATGTGCACCTACTCCTCCATGGTTTGCTTTAACATGGCTCTTTAAACAACCAGCAGGTCAGTTGGATGGGTTCTTATTTTAGTAGGGAGCTGGACCCCTTGATTTGACAATTAAGTATGGATGCTTCAGTGCAAGTTTGTTTTGTTTTTTGTTTTTTTTTTTTTTTTTTTGTTGTTTTTTGTTTTTTTTTCATCTCCCAGGAACAGGTGTTCTTTTGTGCAACCATAGTTTTGCCATCTTTTTTTTAACCCAAACACTGCTACATTTTTATTTGTTTCTCAAAGAAGCAATTTGGATTGGATTGTTCCAGTGTAATTACATTTGAATGTTGGGGTGTTTTTTTCTCAGATCTGTAGGTGATAATTGGCATTTTCAGCTCTTCTAATTCTTGCTTAAGATAAAGTCTTGCTAAATAAAAACTTTGCAACTTTTTTTCTCAGCAAAACATGATTCTACTGATGTGAATCCTAATAGGTCTGGGACAGATTCTAAAATAAAACTCCTCTTTCCTCTTTAAGTCCTGTGTAAAACCAGATTACCTTGTTTCTGTAAATCCTAAAAAAATATATTATTTCTCTAAAACAGACTCTTGACAGGCTGGACTTTTGTATAGGGTAGGGGTCTTGCCTTGCACCTTTTTTTAAGTTTTCTTTTAGCCTAAAGATTGTCCCTTAGCATCAGTCAGCATCTTTCTGTTATGCATTTATTACTGTATCAGTGGGACATACCAGAATAATTCAGAATGCCTCAGCCGGAAGGGTTTTGCATGTTTGTTTCGAACATCAGCTATTTGAGTGCCATCTCCAACATTAAAAGCCAAATTGCTGAAGTTGGTTTTAAATCGGATCACTATCATTCCATGTAAGAACTTCAGGAGAGAAATACTTGAAAAGAAGGAATATTAAAGACAGTGACACAACTTTCCATTTTTAACACTGCTAAGACGGTGAAACTTATGTTGAAATATCTCTGTAATGTTGCACTTCTAGACATTTTCCAGAGAAAGTACAAGCACGCTGCATTCACTTTTGGAAGGGTTTATCTTACATGTTTTCAAGAGTAATGGATAATAAATGTTACTATACAGTAGCATAATAGGCAATGGAACTTTTTAACAAAAAATAATCAGGTAGAAGAAAATTATCAAGATAATTTTTTGACATGCATCCCTGCAAGAGTTGATTGTTTGGATATTAAAGACTTTTTTTTCCTAAAAAATTGCAAACTGTTGTGCTTTGCAGAATTTCTGTTATGTTTCAGTGTTGTCTCAGTCCCATCTGTAAAGCAAGAGATAAATGTTGTAAAAATAACAACACTGTTTTAAAAGCTTTTCATCAGGACTATTAAAAACCTGAGCATATAAATTCATATTAATATTTACTTGCTGTCAAATTTCAACATGCTCTGTCAAAGAAGTTCATTCTCCTTCTCTATTTAATTGAAGACCTAAGTAATGAAGTCATCTGACATTATTAAGACTTTAAAACTAACCAAGCATAATATAAAGTGCTTTTATTTTTAAATGCAGAAGCACTGAAGCAAACATGAGATCTAACATACAATTTTTTGCTAAGTTTGGGGTTTATTATTATGTGGTTCATCTTGGTATTGCTGACTTTTTTCTAGTATGTCAGTAGAAATTAAATAATATCCCTCTTTGCTGACAATTTGTTGTTACTCTAAAATCAAATTTATATTCACTTTACATTCTAATTTATGGTTTAGTCATCAAAGTGACCATTGAAGTGTAAGGTTCATAAATAACTGTTTGAATCAGCCTAATGGGAAATGTGAAGTAGTGACAGATTACTGTCATTTTGTTCATGTCAGTCACTGTACAATTTGCTGGAGTGTTATAAAAGTAGCTTTATAATGCTGAAAAGCATGGAGAAACATTAATCTCCAGTTTAATCCTCCTGTGCTTATTATTGGTTTTGATTTTATAATAGCCTGGCTAATGGAAGGAACAACTCATTTTCAACACTGCTGGCAAAGATTTTTGTGCATGTGTGTTTACTGTGTAAACAGCAAAAATTTGTGATGTCTTTTCTGTAGAGAAGGATGTTGAGAAATGCATTGTCACAAATAAGTGGAAGTAGAAAGTTTTAAAAAGTTTTAAGGTGAAGTCTTGAAGGTGTTGATGGATTGTCATAACAGCTGTTCCCCAGCTATGCTAATATGATTTCATTTGTGAGTTTCTATTGCTATTAGTAATGTTAGTATGTTAGTGGTAGGGGAATTTGCACTGAAATGCACTGCTGCTGCTGAAATTTAAGATTTATGAAAGCGACTTTGAAGATTGGCTAATATTGAGTGTTTTGAAGTTTTCTTTATGCCAGTCTGTCTGTCGGGTTTTGAACTGAAAACATAACAGTGAAGTTCAAACGCTATAGTAGACGTGTGTGCTCTGATTAATCAGAGCCTTGTTTTTATTTATAGGATGTCTCGTTCTTCCATATTCCTCTGTAGTGCTTTCTCCTCAGTTTTGTATTGTAGCTAGAAACTGCCAGTCATCTTGGTGTCCAGTGAAGAAGGATCATTCTGTTTTTCTTGGCAGGTCTGAGCCTTTGTCATCAATTTTACTGGTTTTAACATCATGCACCTGCAGTACTTTTCAATAAAAGGGTTTTAATATTTCACAGCTTTGTTGTTCTCTTTAAATAATCCAAACTGATGAGAATCCTGGTTTGCACAAACCTTGGTCAGGAAGATAATAGACGGCACTATGAGCACTGAGACAGTCAGAACTTGTGGATCTGTCTCCTTTACAGCTGGCTGGTGATCTGTGTTTTTTATGGGAACAGATAAACTTCTCTTCTAAATCTTGAATTGTTTTTCCTTAGACTTGACCTCTCTAACTGTTCCCTTCAGATGTGTAGAATAAAGGAATGTGGTGTTGATGCATGAAAGGTCAGTTAGAAAGGTTCCACTGATAATGATTAATACTGAGTACTTGCAGCATTTTTCACATTTGCGGCATGTTGTAAAGTACATTCTAATACGTGAAATATCCATTGCTTGTAGTAACTTTAGCTCCATTTCTCTTAATGAAATGCTTCATGACTATGCCTTGATAAAAGCCCACATCATACTTAGTGTGCGATTTTGGTCTCATATTCTTATGTTTTTCCATAGTCAAAATTACTGATTTGTTCTTGTGCTGAAACTTTTGCAAAATAAGAACAGTTCTTATGGATCTTTTATTTTTTAGCAAGCCAAGTTGCCAGTGCAGCTGTGTATAGCCAAGTACTGTGCCTTCTTGAGGTGTTCATTAGCAATATCTTATCTTGGCAATATTGTGAATTTGAATAACACTTGATGGAAGTGGAAATAAAACTGTATCAGTGTACTAATATAGCACTCATATTATTATGAGTTAATGACCATAAAGCCATAAGGAAACTTTCCGTTAATCAAAATAACATAAATATTAAAACATGTTTAATAAATATTAGCAAGACAAGCAACTTCAATTATAGTTGCTATAAAAAATGAAAGGTAGAAGTACTAGCCTAGTTTACTGCACCTGGTTTGAATTGACTTGTCATCCTTTGATCAGCAAATATTCCTCTATCACTAATTGTCGAGGTGTATGTACTTCTGGACTGAAAGCATTTTGTTGAGTATTTGGAGGACTGGTACAAATTTACACAATTGTGAGTTTGTGACATTGGAATTGACTGAAGGAACTTACCAAACTTTAAGAAATATTCTGGGTATCTGAACAAGTTGTGTTTATACTGCAGAGCACTGCCAGTTGGATGCCCTTTGCAAGAGAAGATTAATTTTGAAAAGTCTTGTTAGTATTAGATTTGGGCTATTTATGTCTAAATTTTATGAATATGTAAGAAAGTTGCAAAATGCTGTGTAATGTGTTTCATTATGTTGGCAGCAGTTCTGAGGCAAAGAATAGCTGGAAAAGCCCTTTGAGCACACGCTACTGTTCAGCGATGTGTATAGTATCGACAAGTCATGTCTTTGTGCTGGCAGACAATTCTGTTGGGGTTCTAATATGGTTCATTCTTATCAAGCTTGTCACTGCAAGGAAGTTCTAAAATCACGGATTATTTTTCTGCTTTTCTTGAGAAGCTCTTTGAATTTTATCTCTGGGTTTTTTTTTTTTCCATCTTCACAATGGCAAATATCCATTTCTATATGAAAATACAGATTTTTCTACCATAAAATTGTAGACTTACAGTTCTTAGATAAGAACTGGAAGTTTGCTGGGGCTTTCACTTGTGCCATGTATTTTTATTTATTACAGTTGGACATCATTTTCCAGCCAGGATAGAGCTGACATTACACCCAGAGAATTTTTCTTACCTCTCTGGCCATTTAGCTATACTTAAAGCAAGTGTAGACACAGTAG